GTTCCTGCCACATATATATATATATGTATGTGTATGTATGCACCCTCGCCTGCACGTTAAGCCCACACCTACGGCATGCATCCCAAAAAAACGGACGCTGAACCTCTGCACACCCACAAGCCCTTTCTCAATCCACAAGTCTCGATGAGACCTTGGAACCAAACGACCCGAGATCCTGATCAAGCTCAAGATAGGGGCCTGAATAATTAGAATAGGGTGTTGGGGATTCTTGGTCGTGATTGAAGTAGAATTAATAGACCCCAACAGCCCTATTCTAGTTCGTGAGGCCCCTACATACAGTCCTGAGGCCCAGTTGAAGCCATGGACTCTTGAACCCCAAACCCTAGTCCATGCCTGGATCCTAGCCCTTTTACGCGACACCCTTGACGCTAAACCTCAAGGCCTAAGCCCTAACCTGTAAATGTAAACCTGCCTTATGCCCCAACCCCGTGCCCAGGGACCTACAGCGTCCACATATACGGTTTAGGGTTTAGGTTTAGGATACTGTTTTGGTATATCGGGACTCTCTGGGCCTCCTACTCTGCACACCTAACCTAACCACTCCTTTCAGCTCCCCCTCGAAACCTCCCGTCCCAAGTGGCCTAAGAAGCTCGCTCTTCAATACATGAAAAGACCGACAGACCCCACAACAAAACCATATGCAAATCTATCTAAACCCTAAACGCTAAACCCTGAACCCTAAACCCTGAAACTTAAAACCCTAAACCCTAAACCCTTATGAACCTGAAACCCTAATCCCTGAAAGCCCTTGCCTCTCCACCCAACGTTGAAATGTGTCAGTTGAAGAGCTGATCAAAACACATTGACATAGTAGCAAGAAGCAACAATCTTGCCAGAAAGAAACTTACCTGTACACACCTCGTTGCAGCTGGCGTAAACCGAACACTCACAACCTAAAACATTCTATATCCACAAGTAAACAAGAATCTATCAAGATCGATTACTATAGATAACCCCAACTGAGACCCCAACCCTGAACCCTACTTGGAGGCCCAGGTGACTTAGTAAGTCGGCTGTAAGTAGGGTTATAATTTGGGTAACTATACTTGGGGTACTTATAACTCTACTTAATTATAACCTACTTACTAAGTCCCCTGGGCCTCCAAGTAAACCCTAAACTCTAAAGCTTAAACAAAAAGAAACAAAAGGGACTGGAAGCAAACAACTCAGTCGACTGCCATCTCGTGTTCTAAGGCTTCGATGCGCTTCTGCGACCGCGCGACGTCCTCCCACAAGCCATGTCGCTACTCTTTTTCGTCTGCTAGGGAACTTTTTAAGTGTTGTTTAGAGTTTAGCATTTGGGTAGTTTTCAAAATTAGAGTCCTTTCTAGGTCCCTAATATGGTACAGCACCCTTACAAAAAGGACCCAAAAAAGGGACCTTAATTTAGAGAACTACCCATTTACGGGTGGGGGCCAAGATGTGGGGGTTTCTTTGCTTTGCTTTAGCTACAGGTCTTTGTACATTGTACGTTCTTTGCTTACGAAGCTGCTGTCTGGCATCTATAATGTTATGGAACTAACGATTCATACGGACTTTATATAGGGTTTTGAGAACTAGGGTATCTAGGGGGCTGGGGCTTTGGATTACATTTATGTCTGTCTGCCTGTCTGTGTGTGTGAGAGTGGTGCAATATTCTCCGCTGCACGAAGCGTTTCAAACTTTGATGCAGACACGCAAGATTGTTTAGTTAACCAACCAAAGATGTAAGCTCTTTAAGTTTACGGGCTCTTGATTTCGTGTCTCTTGGGTAGGACCAGATTTAAGTAGTGCCCCTGCTCACATGTGAAGCCGCCAGATGCGGCTTCGTGACAAGAAAAGCTTTCCAGATCATGCCCACTTAGAAGAAGTCAACAAAGGATAATTAACGCACGTAAACCCTCAACCCTAAACGCATATACGAAAGACCTCGGGGAAAAAGGGTACCGCTCCCCTAAACTCTGAAACCAATAGCCCGAAACCCCTAAACCCGTATACCCTCAATCCTACACTAAAACCCCAATCCTGTACTAAGCTTTACAGCCCTAAGGGTCCATGTACCCAAATAAAATATCCTCTTGGCCCCGGAGTACCCAAATAGGGACTACTTTAAGGCCAAAGTATTCCTAAACCCTATAAACCCTAAACCCTAAACCCTATTATATGGGCACATGAAGCCCTTAGGGAAGTAAAAGGAACCTGACGTTCGACCAACTCGCGCAGCAACGCCTTCATCGCCAGGTCGCGCTGCCGCTGAACGCGGGAGGCTTCCTGCCAGGCAAGAGGGCTTTCATAAGGTTTAGGGCTTTAGGGGATTAGGATTTTGGGATATGGGGCTATGAGGGGCTTAGGGTTAATTACCGGGTTTAGGGTGTTGGCTGCTTTCTGAGTTTTAGTGGAGGGGTCTAGGTTGAAAGGGAAAGAGAGAAAGACCAACAGAAACACAGCTTAAGGCTCAAGGGCTCCTTTAAGGTCTTCTTGGAGGCCCAGGGGACTTAGTAAGTGGGTTATAAGTAGAGTTATAAGTACCCTAACTGTAGTTACCCCAATTATAACCCTACTTATAACCCAATTACTAAGTCCCCTGGGCCTCCAAGTTGGGGGTCGTTCAAGGCATTTGTAGCTTCTGGCTTGTTTTACGAGTTACCGGTAGCCTACCCTGTCCAGGGGTATATATAAATCATGACACAGGAAAGCACCAACAAGTCTGCTTTTCTGGTGATGCAGACAAGGTTCAGGAAATGGGTTTTGGGATAGGGTTAAAGTTGAAACGTGCCGGAGGCTAGACTTCAAGTCCATCTTAGCACATTCGTGTCTGTAGAGACCCTGAAGTATAGCCCTTAACCCCAGAGCCTGCAGTACAGCATCTTGAGTTCACAAGACCCTCCTTCCAAGGGCTATATCTATAGGCCCCATTGTAGTTCCATTCTTATTGTGGCTTCTATTTAGGATCCTATTAGGTAATCCCAAAAAAGGAACTACTAAAGGGCCCATGGGCAGGGCTTTGGAGCTCGGGAGTTTCTCAGTTCAAAGTTGATTCTTCCCATGAGCCCCCCCGCCCCCCTTCCAAAAAGCATTGCTGGGTTTAGGGGATTAGGTGGGTCTGTAAGGGTTTAGGGTTCAGGGGTTCGTTGGTTCAGGAGCTTGATGCGCTTCTCTGGGGGTTTCACTAGGAATGCAGAAGGCTGTCTAAATTATTGCGCTGCGGGCTTTGCAAGGGTCTGTAGGCTGCTACAAATGCCTTCAGAATTAGAATAGGGGACTTGGGATCGTTTGTCGGTAAGGAACCCCTCAAAATCATGTACATAATTCTTGAGGCCCCTATATTCTACAGGCTTTCGAAGTGCTTTAGGAGGTTTCCCCTAAACCCTAAGTTTCTAAAAGTGGCTTTCGTGGGCCTTGGAGGGCTAAGGCCGCCCTACACAGCAGGAACCCGGAGTCGATCAATCCTAAAGCCTAACCTCTAAACCCCTAAACCCCATAAACCCTAAACCCCTAAACCCCTAAACCCTAAACCCCTAAACCCGAAACCCTTAAACCCTATAAACCCTGAACCCATACACCCTACAAACCCAAAACCCTATAAACCCTAAACCCTATAAACCCTAAACCCTATAAACCCTTAACCCTTAAACCCTAAACCCTAAACCCTATAAACCCTAAACCCTAAGTGTGCTTCTGCCGCTTCTGCCGTCATTTTGGGCGGATCCAAGCCCGGGAATGGGCCCTGAGCGTCCTGCAAGCACAGGTGCCCTAAACCCCTAAACCCCTAAACCCTAAACCCTAAACCCTAAACCCTGCTTGTACATACACGCATCTTGACCTCTGGCCGCTGCAGGCAGCAGTCCAGCAGGCGGCTGCGCACGGCAAGCATGAAGAAGCCGGTGAGCGGTTTAGAGTTTAGGGTTCCGCTCGTTCTCATTCTGCTGGTGTCTAGTCTGCTCTGTCCACCACATCTGCAACTGCTGCGTGACGGGGTCGTCGTGCTTCTCCACAGTGTGTAGGTCAGCGTGGTCCATAGTATCCATTCTTGTTCCTCTTGCTAGTTTCACCAATTTTGCATTTAGGATCCTGTAGGGTTGCACCAAAAAAGAACTACGATGGAGACTATAGGTGGACCCTCAAACTCAACCCTAAACCCTGAGCCTGAAATATATTCGACCCACTTTGTCATGCCACTGTGGGTATAGCTGATCCATGAGGCCTTGTTGCGGCCTTCCAGCTCCAGACACCTTGAGCAGACGGCCAAAATAATTGGAATAGGGTTTTGGGGCCACTATACTGTAAGCCTAAACCCTACACCCTACTGTAAGTAGAATAAGGAGGCCCAAAAAACTAATGTAGGCAATTCTTTAGGCCCCTATACTACCACAACCCGAAGAAGGGACCTTATGGATTTAGGGTTTCGGCTTACAGTAACGTAAGGGCCTTACTAATGAGAATAAGGTTTCGGGGTATACTACAATAAAAATGTAATAAGGAACCCCCACAAAAGTATAGGTATTAGGATCCTGTATTATGTCTTAGGGCTCCTTGCTAGCAAGGTGGCAGAGAACGCCCCAAACCCCCTGGTTTGTTTTTCTGATCTTGGGTCTACCCCAAATTACGCTGGACAGGAATACTTCGAAAAACCGAAAGCCCTGATACATGAAGGTTCTGATAAGCCGAAGGGTATACATGGATCTTTCTGAAATCGAATTGACACTGCCGACACACTGGAAAGTATAAACTGTTCCACCTTATAAAGGCGGTGGGCTCTACGGGCCGGCGACGCTTGGAAGTAGAGATTTGGGTTCCTGGAATGTCCTTTTCTCTGAGATGTGCAGTTTTGGGGATTGAGGTTTGGACACACCTCCAGTCCAAAAGCTTCCAAGGATATGCTCAAGGTCTACTTGGAGGTTCATGAGTAGTTATAAGTAGGGTTATAAGTAGGGTAACTATACTTATAACCCTCTTATAACCCCACATATAACTACCCATGAACCTCCAAGTAGAACTGGTTAAACCTTACCGATTGCCAAGCAGGAGTTTAGGAGACAGCGTCTAGACATGCAGCCACACGCTGCTTTTTCAACTTCCTAGTTGGAGGGTCGGGGGACTTAGTAAGTAGTTATTTTACAGAGTTATAAGTATCCTAACCCCAATTAGGATCCCTATTAGGGTACGTATAATTCTATTTACCCACTTCTGGTGGGTAGTTACCGTTATAGGAGCCTTATAGAAGGTCTGTGTACCTTTTAGAAGCCTTATAGAAGCCCTATATACCCTAAACTCCCCACCTGTAGTTTCCTTTAACCACTTACTAAGTCCCCCGACTCTCCAAGTACAAGGAGCCCTTACGCTGAGCCGGTTGCGGCCTAATTAAAACCCTCTGCGTGCCAAATCTCATGCACATGCCGTTTAGGGTTTAGGGTTTAGGGTTCGTAGTGCTTCGACTACGTATGTTGTCGGCTTCCTCGTTGTCACTCTCGTCCTGCTATGGACATCGCTGTCGTCAGCGACATTGTTTCGTGGTGCTCGCACTTAATTATAGTTCTAGCTACGATTGTTGTAGTTGTCAGTGGCCACATGGTGATGCTTAGCGATGCTTGTATTCATGGGTCTGCATTACGAAGATGAGTGCCATGAAGCTCAGCGTGTCCCAATGTAAAGTTTCAGAGATGATGCTCCTGGAAAGGGGTGGAATGACTCTGGTAATGCCCATGCTGCCCATGTGCGGGCTGGTTCCGATACTGACGGTGAGCATGGCTCTCTCCTTGTGCTGAACCCCGTCCTCATGATTGCTGTCGTCGCTGATGTTCGTTGCAATTGAGAGGATGAAGTATCGGAGGTGACAGCGGTAGGATTGCAGGTTTGCTGAATCTTTCATTGTTCACAACTGCGACAACAAGAAGAAACTTCGCAGCACAAGCAGCAAAAAAGTCTTCAGCCCGAAAAAACCCCAAACCTTCAACCCTAAACACCCTCAACCTATAAACCCTAAACCCAAAAAGCCCTTATAAGCCCTAAGAACCTTAAAAACCCTAAAACCCTCCCCCCCAACAAAAACAACAACAACAACAACAGCAGCCGGGCTTCGTGCTTTGTGCTCTGGTCCCTGGCTTCCTGTTCCCAAGCCGCGGCCTCAGCAAAAGAGCACAACATCAAAAGAGAGCCTCAGTGTTAGGACACCCGTTGCATAAAATCCCTACGGTGGGACGGGAACAGTACTCAACCCACACTAGACGAAACACCAGCAAGAGAACGGATCCTTCGTGACCCCCAATCATATACCCTGCGCCCAATCTCGAGAAACACTTAAGAATTGAGAGTTTCGGGTCTATGTCGGTTCGGGTAAAGGGTGTGGGGTCTAAGGAACTGCGGTACCGTCAGGAGGACAGAATGCACAGAGCTTTAGCCATCCAGCTGATTGTGCATGCGGCACATGACTACAGACATGCAAACACACAAAGAGACAGACAGACAGACAGACAGACAGACAGACGGACGGACGGACGGACGGACGGACGGACGGACGGACGGACGGACAGACGGACAGACGGACAGACGGACAGACGGACAGACGGACAGACGGACAGACGGACAGACAGACAGACATGCATGCATACATGGCATGCCATGCCAGGCATGCACGCACATATGCACCTAAGTATGTGCCCACATGCACAACGTACATTGATCACGGCTGCCACCGCTTCTTGTGGTCTGAGTCAAAGCAGAACTGACTTAGGACGACGACGACGACGACGATTATGACAACTGAGATCACGACTACCAAACGCAACAACCACCAACAGCAACATACCCAAGTAATATTCTTCCCGTCACTCGCTTCTTATACTTGATAAGACTATCTTTTGTCTGGCCTCTCTCTTTCCTGAATTGGCAAGGAAGAGAGAAGCCACACAAAAGACAGGCTTATCTGATAACTTATCAAGTGTAAGAAGCGAGTCGCGGGAAGAACATTACCCAAATCTCTCTCCCTCTCTCTCTTTCGGATGGTGGCGTCTGTGCTCATGCTTTCCGGTTGCACTTTAAGACGACCCGTTGTTCTCCCCATCAGATGCATTGACAACTTGTCTTCGACAGGCAAGAGCCAAGTACTCCCGACTTCGGCCCCTTTTTCGAACTATAGATCTTATCGATCTACCAATCAATCGACCTGTCGATGGATCCATCTCTGTCTCCCTGTCTGTCTGCCTGCCTGTCTATCTGTCTGTCTCTCTGTGTGTTAGCCTGTATGTATTTATGTATGTATGTATGTATGTATGTATGTATGTATGTATGTATGTATGTGTGTATGTACATATACAAATAACATTCACATGCAATACATATGAGTATCATATATGTGCATGGTATTTACGCACGTGACCTAACACTTCGGATGCGACATAGCTCAACACAAGTCGACTAGACCGGATCTGGATCTAACCTTGTTCAATGAAAACACAGATCCGCTCCAAGAAAACACCAAACCCGAAACCCCAAGCCAAACCCTAAACCCCAAACCCCAAACCATTAACCCTGAACCCTATAAACCCTGGACCCTGAAACATAAACCCAACACAGCTCCATTCCAAGAGCTCTGCGAGAGTCTCGAGCTCGCGGATCTTTGCCTCTCCATCGCAATCCGAATGTCGGATTTCAACGAAAACGTAAAAGGGGCGTTAGTAGTTGGGGCCCCCACTCGTTGTAGTTACTTAGACTATAACCTTATATAGGATGATTCATATTTCGACACTTGTGGTAGTTATATGGTATCGCGCCACCTCCGATCAATGCGAGCAGTCATCGGAATTAGAAGAGGGGTGTAGACTGCTAGGGTTAGCATATAGGACTGCGGGTGTCCTACACAATGTAGCTTCCTACCTACCTCTAAACCCTCAACACTCAACCCTAAACCCTACTGAATGATACATGAGACTTCACGCCCAAGACAGGGACCTGGATCATTAGACTTAGGGGTCTGCGATATTACTTGGAGGCCCAGGGGACTAAGTAAGTCGGTTATAAGTAAGGTTCTAATTGGGGTAGCGCCAGTCAAGGTATAACTCTACTTATAACCTACTTACTAAGCCCCCTGAGCCTCCAAGTGATCAGTACTGACACCTATGTAAGACCCTGTCCCTGCAACTGCTTCTGCCAGCACCAGGGGTAAGTCGTTGCCTTTATTCAACTGAAAATCATACAACGAATATAGGGCCTTAACACTTACCGGGTGCTACACTTCTACAGGGACAATAAGGGTACACGATTGCTGATTGCAAAGTAATCAGACCCGTGCATGACTTTCTGAACGCCTAGGTGGTATGATTGCCGCTGATACGACCCCAAACCCCAAGCTCACCATAGACTGGAAAGCCGTAAGCAGAGATTCTCGCAAACCTCACATAGCCCCTCGAGCAAAAACCCACCACAGAACCCGGTTTCGGGTTTCGTGTTTATCCGAACTCGACACCAAGTCAGGGCAGTCCCAGATCTGTCAACCAAAACAACCCTAAACCCTAAACCGATCTCGAACCTAGGGAGTTGGCTTTGGCCTGGGCTAACGGCACACATGAACCTTGGACGCCCTAAACCCTAAACTCTAAACCCTAAACCCTGAACCCTAAACTTTAGGGTTTACGGTCATCTCCTGCGTTTTCTGACTTCTTCTCGTTACCTTAGGAGTTGTGGTGAGGTAAACGAAGCTCCTCAAATTCAAACGAGAACCCTAAACCCTAAGCCCAAAGCCCTAAGCCCTAAACCCTAAACCCTGAACCCTAAACCCAGTCATCGCCCCAAGATGCTCCTCGCCTTCAGAATCCTTGGATCATCCTCCTTTGCGAGGGCCTGAAGTCGGCACATCTAGGACCGAAAGTTACGGTTTAGGGTTTACCCTTTTGGTAGTATTATTAGGGATACCCCTGAAAGATTACCCCTTCTGAACCCTACTTGTGGCTCTCTTAAAAGGGACCTTATTGAGAGGGTTTATATCCCCAAGGGTCCCCCTAATCCTAGCTCCCACCCAATTGGGGTTTCGGACTTGGGGGTTTACCTATAGTCTCCCTTGTAGTTCCTTTTTGGGGATACCTTATAAAATCCTGAATATATACTTGGTTAAACCAAAAGAAGGAACTACAATGGAGACCATAGGTAGGGCCGAAAGCTCAGGGCTTCGGATTGCTTACTTCACGTATACCTAGGGAAAATGCACGGGTAATCTTTCGGCGCTCTAGTTACACGACACCCACGCCACGTGTGTTTGAGCTTCTGAAACAATAGAAACGTGCAAACTCGCCCTAATCCCCAAAGAGAAGCACGACCCAACATTTCGTATGAGGCTAAGCCCAAAGCCTGCGATCGACATGCGAAGAGAGACGCTCCCAGAAGACAACTCTGGTGCCCGTGAGTTCAAACTGAACCTAATTTTCTTTCTAGGGTTTGAGATTCAAGTGCTGTTGACTTTAAACACAACCCCAACACCTTTACAACCAAACATTGGAGGGGCTCCTCCTTAATCTATCTGAAGGAACTGAGGTGAAGAGCATTTGAAGAGCTGTGGGCTTCCCGAAAAATGGCCTCACCGCTGAGACTTTCCAGCTCTTCCGGTGAAATCCTCTTCCCCATGGAGAGGCTCCAGCGATTCCTGGGCTGAACATGTTAGGGTTGTTGCTCCAGCGATTCCTGAGCTGAACGGTTTAGGGTTTAGGGTTTAGGCCTTAGGGTTTGGGGTTCAGGGATTCAACGGTTTAGGGCCACGGTTTAGGGTTT